GAGCCACTTCCTCCTGGCTTTGCTGGGTGACTGTTAGCTGCTTGGCAGTATCTGCATTCTACGCACAAGAGAGGAGGGTTGGAGAGTGGTTTTGGAATCTCCAGGGGGGCATGTGTGTGTGAATGGTGGGGACAGGGAACATCCCAGGATTACTGCTGGAGCTGAAAGTGTATCATGGCTCATTCAATTAAGTCGATTCAAATTCCAATTTTAGAATTCCTCATTGGATCCTTCGCCTTTTTACTGAGGCCAGGCAGGAACTCTATTTTGGACAGCACCTTTCCTACACAGGGCCTATCCCAAAATGCTGCAGGTAACAGAAAAAAAGAAATTGACAGGCCTCAGAAAAGAGAAAGGGATTATTTCTAGCAACAGAGAGACATAGAAAGGCTGCAGATGGCAGGAGGCGGCCCTTGAATTAACAGTGCCGAGACTACAAGAACGGAGAGAAAAGAGGCAGCAAGGCAATGGAACGGGGAGAGAAAAATATAGAAGCTACTTTCTGCGATGCCCTCTGGCTCTGCTAAAGCCCCAGCCATTCTGTAGCCACGCTAGCCAGCCCTCACCTTCCGCAGCAGCTCTGCATGCGTGTTGATAAGCTCGCTGTGTTTCTCTTTCAGCTTGGAATAGCGTAGTTCCGTGGCGCTGGCTTTCTCTGGCAGAGGCAAGAACATTCCCAGTGTCAGTAACACACCAAAACTCCATGCTCTGCACCGTAGCAACTCAGTACGAAGCAGCCTTCTCTAGCCCATCACAACTCTCATGTGCATGGAATTCACAGGAGAGAAGAGCTGAGACTAGTTGCTAAACTCAAGGGCATCTTTTTCAGCTGTTTGAGCCAGTTCATTCTCCTCACTTTGAGGTAAGTAGCTATCTGCATTTCCCTCAAAAACTCCTGCTCAGACACATTAGCTCCCAATAGCAACATGGGAGGGTTTGGAGCTGTTCCTGACTAAACAACAAATGGCTACAGGGAACTTCCCCTCCACCAGGGACAAACACAACCTTGCAGCCCTGGATTCAGCCATCCAGGGGTATCAAAGGTTTATTCTAGTTCTAGGCCCCTCGGCTCACACACTCCTCTCTCTGGAGTCTCTGAAAATGCCACTTACTTTCAGCGTCAACATAAAGCCCCTGTGTTCGGCTGTTTTCCAGCTGAGCTCTCTGCAGTCTCTCCACCTCATCCCGGAGTTGTTCGTTATCCACCAGCGCTTTCTGTTTTTGTTTCCGTTGCTCTTCCAGCTCTGCCTCCAGACTGTTGATCTGGGCCTTGAGCTGCGTGATGTACCGCTGAGCCTATTGACACAGCCGGTTACCCGGGTGATTCAGCGAACCTGGCACAGGCTGAACAAAGGGCTGAGGGCCAGGCACGCTGGAGTGTGAGGGGTGGCTTTGACAACTGTGACAATGGCCTGCCCTAGATTTTCCAGAATCTACACTGTCCTGTGAAGGCCTCAACGACCACGTGCGTGCTCGTGCACGCAAGCAAGCACGTACACAATCTGATCTGCAACTGGCCTCTGGTGCCAACCGGAGAGGAATATAACTGCAAAACTAGTCTTCTCCCCCAAGCACCCAACTGACAACATTCAGTGACTGGATTTCAGACCTGTCATCTAGCTGTGGTAATCGAGAGGACTCAGCTCAGTGGCAGGGGGAAGGAACTAGGTTCTGTTCCAATTTCTGAGGGACTTTGGGCAAATCAGGCTCTGAGCTAAAAAAGCCACATCATCCTCTTCCTCCTCAGCTCACCACACCACCAGGCTTTACCTCCAGTTTCATTTTCTCTAGCTCAGCCCGAAGCATGTCCACCTCTTTCTTTAAGTTTTCAATTTGCAGATCCCTGGGAATAAAAAAAAATAAATGTGCCTCATTATGAGCCTGGAAAACGGCAGCTCCCTCCTCACATCAACTCACTGCCGTCCCCCTCACCTGTCATCTCGAACTCCATTGGGGGGGCCAAAGGTCTGTTCAAATACATCCGACACATTCTGAAAAAAAAAAAAAGATGGCACCCATGTTAGGCTCAGCCCTTCGAAGTGCCAGACTGAGTCGGATTAGGCTTCGACAGCCTGGAAACCAGTGAAAGTCTGAGAAGGCAGCTGGGTTAATACGTTCTGCACACAAGTCATTAGTAAAGCCAGAGACAATAACTGCAACAAGCCCAATAAGCTGTCTGGGTGAAGGACGCAGAATTCATGCCACTTTACTTCCCTGCCCTTCCCAAATCCCCACAGCCAACCCAGCCACATTACACAGAATGATGCCTGGCATCAGCTGAAACCAGCCGTTCAAAACAAGGAAGAGTCAACCATGTGGCAGGAGGAGAGGAAGTGCCCCGACCCCAGTGGGTGTCCAAGGAGACTAACTATGCCAAGACAAATGTCCTTCAGCACAGCTGCGCAGATTTCCTGAAATGCTGCAGAAGTTACTCTACATAGTGCAAAGAGTGAGTGACTTGCTCCAATTCCATGCTTAAGCAACACTTCTAGTTTTAGTGCCTTGGACAGGAGGCTAACACAGACTCTCTAGCAGCCTTGACAGACTTTGTTTTTCTTGCCTTTCCAACACACCCGAGATGTCACTCTGGGCTCCCACCTGCTGTTCCACTGGAGGAGCCGTACTGATCTCGATTAAGTTTTCTGGTTCTTCATCTTCCGGGGCCTCCTCAGGGATGACAACCACTGGCTTCACATGCTCTGCCAGGGCAGATGCCCGCAAGAAATTAGGGGGGCTCTGTCAAGGCAACAGAAAACCAAATGTATTTCACCTGGTTGTGGTTAAATGAACTGCATGGTGCACCCAGAGTACAGCCCCAGCTGGAGTGCTAATTCAGGAGGGTGCCGGGTGTTAGTGGATAAGCCATTGTGGCTATGTTCTGTTAGTGCTTTTGCACCTCTGGGAATGGGAGAGAACCTGGTAGAACTCCACTGGTTCTCACACGATGGCCTGTGGGTTACTGGCATCTGCAGAGCCTTTCCTGGGGCTCTCTGGAATTTGAGAAGCAGGCAGCAGGAGCAGACCCAATGAGAATTTCGCTCTCTCCTACAGAGTGGCCACAAAGTGAAAGAAGTGGGGGACCTCTGAAATAGGCAGCTCCCTTCCTGCCGATTTTCCACAGTGTCCGATGCACTCACTGCTGCCTTCCTCTGAAAATCGATGGGAACATTGAGACACACTTCCAGTGTCAGGCATCCATCCTGCCATCAGACCAGCCAAAATGCCTTCTCCTGGAACATGGGGCCAACCGGCCACCACCACAATCACAGAAATTGAGAGAGACTGGGCAGAGCTGTCCCATCCATAGGTCAGTCAGGGGCAGCCATCCCAGGCCCTGCCCTTTGGGGGAAGGGGACACGGTGGCCTCCACAACTGCCCTATGGACTGGATAGTTACTTGGGAGGGGACCTGTGGCCTGCAGCTAAGGTCAAGCCCTCCCACTCATTGTGGTCATGGGAGCCACAGGAAGTGGAGCGACCTGGCTGGGAAGTGGCAGTGGAATGGAACAGGCTGCTGTGTCATTCCACTTCTCCCAGCTCCTGCCACAACAGCAAGTGAAGGGGGGGGCAACCCCCCACACCAGGCACCCCCCAGTAATTCCTGGGTCACGCCACTTGGGGGAAGGGTTACAATGGGGGCAGGAGAGGCCAGATCAGGATCAGGAAGAGGCTGGGTGGGGCAGAGCAGGGTGGGAAGAGGTAGGGTTGCCCCAGAGTCCTCTTCACCCAGGCCCTTCTCCTCCTTAGGGACAGCCCTGAATGCAAGACACAGAATGAATTCCTGGAATTGCTGAGAGCAGCCTGTGATAGGCTGTCATTGCAGGAAGAAGTAAAGCTCAAGAGAAGCACCATTAGGTTTGAACTCCCTTGCTCTTGGGCTTTCAGGTGCATTTGGACACTGAAGAGCCCGAGTTGCCTCTAATCAACTGAAAACAATGAGGTTTTCTACCCTGAAGTGCCTGGCATGGGCTGCTGGCCCACCTTGGTTCAGAGACCTCATTACAGCTCTAAGCATCCCCTGAAGTGCAGGCACACAACAGACAACTGGGCCTTAGGGGCAGGAGCTCTTGTGTTTTCATCTCTTCTATAAAGTATCATGTTTGTTTCTGGTTCCTTGTCAAAAAGTGACAGTGCATGGTATAGGGAAGCAGATGGTACCTCTGGCAGCCTTGGGATCTGGATGAGCCGCTTGAAGTACAGCATGTCCGAAGCCCTTTTAAAGAAGTTTTTGAGGCTAGAGAGAATAAAACAGAAGTCATCACACTGCGAGTGGTGGGCGCCTTGGAGAACGGAGCACTCAGAACAGCTGTAAGTCACTGCCCTGCACTAGAGCGTCCTTTGTTACCTGCGGAACTGCTCATGGAATCGGTCTCGGTGACCTTGCAGTGTATCAGCCGGCAGACCTAGAGTAGTCAAGGAGATAAAGGAATTACCAACCCAGCAAGAGCTAAGTCAGCACACAGAGCATGCCACCACTCACTGCTTCAGCTAAGAAAGGAACTTTCCTTATACCTGATCCAACTAACCAGAAGAAAGTGCCCATGAAATGCTGGGTGATGGACATCTGAACACTCCAGAGAAACTGTACTAAACTGGGATCTAACCACAAGCTGCTCTTAACAAAATCCAGCCAGTCCCAGCAGTTTGCACATTTGGAGGTACAGTTCAAGGTTCCCTCTAATCTCTTCCATCCATGCGTGGATTTTTTCCATCCATGAGCAGAATACATTTTTTATGTGCAGCAAGACATGTGAATGTGCATCAACAGTGGAAACACAAACTTAGTGGTGGGTGCTCTACTAATCAGCTGGGCAGTGTTTGACTCTCTCTCCTGAACGGCCAGCAAGTGCTCAGCTTACAGGGAACACTTGCACAGTTTAGTTACCGATTCTTCAGTAGGAATCCAACTTGTTGCCTGTCAGATTAAAGTGACACTGGAATTCTGCTGCATACTACCCGAGTAATGGCTGCAGTTGTTGATAGCATCCCCCTGAATAGTGCAACATATTCTATCATCATGATTGCTATTTCTATCAATCAAGAAAGGTACATTTCATTAGATTTGTCCATAAAAGCTTGGCTTGGAAATTGGGAATATAGCAGGGGAGATGTCCATTTGAGCCACGCTTCGTTTGATCTCTTAATCCAAGGAGGAACATGATGCTGAAAGGAAACTGGGCTCTGTTTCTCTCACATTTCCTGGGAATGTTGAATACTCAGGTTCCCGAACTCCAGGTGAAATCAAACCCTTCCTCGCTGCTCTCTGGGGAGCCAGTAACAAAGCATGCATGGCAAACAAGGAAACTAGTCAAAAAGTCAGCAGTGGAAACAAGAGGACTATAGTTCACAATCAGAGCACATACTTTATAAACCTTCCATAAACACAGCCAAGCCTGATAGTGTTACAGAGCTGTGGGGAAATGCAAACTGAAAGCTGATTGCTGAGACAGGTCCTCTGGGATTCAAGTGTGTCTCTACAGGTGGGGAGGGCTTTTAAGAGGCATCACAAACCAGGCATAGAAATGACTTGCTTAGCTCAGAACAACCACAGGCAGATCACTGCTTTAACTCAGTGCTGTAGGTGGTCAAGAATAGGGGACAGGAGGAGAGAGACAGGAGGGTTGAGGAGGCAAGTCCCAACTCCACTCCCCAGCCCTTTTCTCCCATTTAGCTCCCCAGGCAAGCTGGAAGGGGTGGAGAAACTGGATGGGCCACAACCCTCTCAGGGCCACTCCTGCCTACGCATCTGCCTTAACTCTTCCAGCAAGAGGAACCTGAAGCTTCTCCCATTAAATCAAGCAAAATGGGCTCAGCGAGAGACCGTCGTTAAAGGAGGCATTTGCAAAATGCACCAAGGACATGGATTGCATTAATTACCTTAAGCCACTAGTTGGGTTCAACAGTGTAGATGGGACCCACAGACCAGAGAAAAAGGATCAATTAAAAGTTCATGTACAGAACTGGAGATGGTCAATCACCTCCCAACACCCCCTACTGGGCAGAGTCTGCTCCAGCAAAGAAACAGCTTTAAAATGAAGCCATTGCTAGTAAAATTCCAGCTGGTTCCTGACTAGTGTGCACCAGGATTTTTACTGTCAGAACCCTATTCTAACACTAGGCCACAGACACTCTATAGGGTTAAGTCAACAGCACAGAAAAGAGAGAGTACAGCCTGGACACTCATGCGAGAATCCACCTAATGCCTTGGCTATAAACTAGTATGGTTCTGGCCTCTGAATAGACAGGGCCTGAAACAATGGGATATGGAAAACAACAGAGTCATAAGAGTCCAGGGTCAGAAGGGACCATTTCCCCACCCTAGTCTGACCATCACAGAATTATACCCAGGTACTCATGTCCCTTGCTTCCATGGCCACATGGCTCCCCTGTCCTGAGGGTGCACTGACTTTAGCTATTAAGCACAGCCAGAAATGCTGGGGCGGAGAGGTGGCAGGGGCCTACAGGTGCCAACAGTACTGAATACGTTTTCATGCTGCAGATACAAAGCCAGCTCAGTGTTATTAACACAAAGCCGTTGTGTGCTGGCACCTGCTAATGGTTTGAACTCAGCACTAGGGGAAGATGAGCTGCTGCAGGTGCAGCATGCAAGTCGCAGAGGCAAGAGCGAGTTCAGAGGGTGCAGGGGCTGAGCGGCAGGAAATCATGTGCAGAGGGTGACTTACAGGAGTGGAGCTTGAACATTAACTTGACGGTGTAGTGATAGAGGTGGCTGCAGTCCTGGATCACCTGGATGAGAGGAGCCAGCCGGCACTGCACAGAGGACATCTGAGACACAGCCATGGCGGTGTTGAGCTGTCTGAGAACTGCAGGAGGAAGTGGGGTTAGCAATAGCTTCAGCTAGTAAGAGGTAAAATTAAAACCAAGCTGTCCAGGGGGCTGCTCAGGCAGGAGGAAGAGCCTCAATGAGAGGCTGCTCCCAAACGAAGAAGGATGGCTTCTTGGTTAAGATACTGGGCTGGGACACAGAGATCTGGAGTCTAATACCAGGGTGATCACAGACACCTACTCCCAGCCCCCACTGCACAGAGGACATCTGAGACACAGCCATGGCGGTGTTGAGCTGTCTGAGAACTGCAGGAGGAAGTGGGGTTAGCAATAGCTTCAGCTAGTAAGAGGTAAAATTAAAACCAAGCTGTCCAGGGGGCTGCTCAGGCAGGAGGAAGAGCCTCAATGAGAGGCTGCTCCCAAACGAAGAAGGATGGCTTCTTGGTTAAGATACTGGGCTGGGACACAGAGATCTGGAGTCTAATACCAGGGTGATCACAGACACCTACTGCTACCAGGAAGAATTGGGACCACAGAGCGAGATCTGCACAAGGAAGTTTCTACCCAGTGTCTGGTTACAGTGAGAAGCCAGAGCAGTGTAGCTGGGATTGCCAGAGAGAACTTGGCTAGGGGTGTAATAGAACAACTGTTTAAACAGTTAATCAATAAGCCCATGCTTATCAGTTACCATTAATGGTTGCACACAGCTTCTGGGGAGCTGGCTGATGCCCTGAGCTCAACATGGGTCGGGCATGCAGGAGCTGGTGTGTGCCAGAAGCTGGCTTAAAAGCTGGATCCTGACACATACCAGCTCCTGGGGAGCCGACTGCAGGCTCTACAGTATAAAATTTATACTGCAGAGCCCAAAGCACATAACTGTGTAGCTGCTGAGACTTTCAGTTGGTTACACAGTAACCTAAATAACTGCTTTTTAAGAGCCCTAATCCAGGCCTGGTTTCATTCTAGCGAACTGGCATACAGGTAATCCTGACTGCACCTGGAGCTGGAGAGCAGCTTTGTGCTTCTCTCTTTGTTTACTCAATTTGTCCATGGGCGGAGTTGAGCGTGCTACCTGGATTACAAAGCTTTATAATTAACTACAAAGTCCGCGTCTCTACCTATCACACGTGACCTGAATGCTTGGTTCCCATGCAAGGCCAGTACAGCTGAACTAGATCAGTGGGAGCAAAGCAGCTGCCCTCCTTGTGATGAGAACTTTCAGAGTTCTTCCTGCTAGTAGTGTGAGTCACATAGGAACTAGGCAGATTGGCACCCATACTGAGACTGAGAGAAGGGAAACTCCCCAGCATTATTCCCAATGCAAGACACCAGCTCTTTCACACACAGATCCATTTGCCAATACTTGATGCTACAAAAGGAAGAGGGGGCCAGTAAAACAATTATGGGGGGCAATCATGAGGAAGGGGGTATAAGACACTCTCCTGCTCCATGCTGGGGTTGTCTCATGACCTGACCATGAGACTAGATGGCCATTATTGTAGATTGTGTAACCACAAGTCGTCAATGGTCAGAAAACTATTCATTTCTTTCCCAGAAATCCAGCCAGAATATTTAAATCCAACTTCCTCTGTGTTCTGATTCAACTATTTGTGAATATAGAATGGTGGTTTTAATTTCCTCTCAGCATAATTGATTCATTTATAACCAACTTGGAGGAGACAGTAAGAGAATGAAGTGTTTCAGTCACTCGGGAAGTTAACACTATCAGACTATATTAAGTTTCCAGTCCCCTCTCCAGCTGCACGTTTCTGGCTAGTTAACCCCCCCCCCCCACACACACACAAAACAAAAAACAATCATCAAAAATTCTTTCAGAATGAGACGAGGCAAGTAGGCCTTGCTGTTCCCACTTGCCGAGTCCTTCAGCTCTCAAAGAGGAGATCTCAGACAGGAAAATGAATATTTATAAAGAATACATTACTGACTGCAGTCTCCAGTATATGGCAATAGCAGCTTTGTGTAATGCATGTAATTAATGTCTTCTTAACAATGAGCAATAAAACTACATCCTTTCTGAGCAGCACCACACATGGTTTGTCCTCCCTCAGAACTAATATAGGGTTGCTACAAGCAGTCAGATATCTTCCCCAAATTGGCCTGTTTGAACAGTTGGAGTTATAAAAGAACGAAGCTGAGATACAGATGTAAAAGGTTAACCAGTTACCCGGTAAGCATTAGCCTTACTGGCATGCTTACCATGGTAACTAGTTAACCAGAGGGCCAGGCCAACTGGAACAGCAGCCAGCAGGACCCCAGCCATGGGGGGTCCTCCCTGGAGCAATCCCACTGTTGGACTCCAGTTGCTCTGCACCAGCCTTTGGTTAACTGATGACATGATTAAAATTACATCATTTAACCTGTTCACATTTTGAATGGGTATTTATATCCCTACACCAAGAGACTACTTTAAAAACCAATGCCTCTCATCATTACCTGAGGAGAGACTAGATCTTACTGAGACGGGAAACACACACCCATCAGCCTGGGGCACAGAGAAAATACCCAACACAGTAGGGGACAGCTGAGCACATTGCTTACCTGACTCTGTGAGTCTCAGTTCACAGTCCATGTAATCAAACATCTCCACTGTGAGCTGAAAGAAAACCAAATAAAAATAACACCCCATCATGTTATATGAAGCACTAGCCCTGGATCAGCACAGAAACCCTTATTTAAAAAGATGCTGAAGTATTGTGCGGCACGGTGTTGTAAGACACCTTCACAACACTGTCAGCTGTGCTATTCAGACTAAGGGTGTGAATGGCTAAACTGTTACCCGCATGGGGCTGGCAGAGCTCCAACCTCGCATCCACCTGTGAGCTGACATGGCCCCTTCCCGCTGCCAGCAGGGTTGTTCTGGCTGAACTGGAGCGATCCCCCTGCCCGCCCCTTCTTTAATCAATGAACTGGTTAAACGCTACTTTTAACCAGTTAACCAATTAAACGGGATTTTACATCCCTAGAGAGGATTACTACAGAACTAGATATACCCCTTATTGCAGTGTTGTCTCTGGGATGGAAAGCATTCCTACAATGCTAACACACATTCCTCCTCTACCCCTGGAGAAGCAGTTACAGTATTACTACAGCATTGTGTGCCCTTTCGTCAAAAAATACTAAAGCCTCCTACAGTCAAGGCACGGTGGTAATGCAGAGTAAGGTGCAACACGTGGGGCCATGACACAGCAGGTTGTCATCTCTTTCCCCCAGCCCCAGTGCACAGTATGTTCTATGGTCACCCACTAGACACACTCACTAGGACCCAAGATGCTGCAGAGGGTCAATGCTTCCATGGAGAGATCAGATTCTCCCTCTGACCTGAGCCTGCATCTGGACTGGTCTATCAACTGGCTCCCTCGCTACAATAAGCAAGTCACCTTCTGAGAGTTCCATGACAGAATAAGATAAGGTTGGGAGCAACGATCACTCAAATTCTTTTCTATCAATATGTGCATTAAATTTTGTTCTGTACCCTGAAGCATGTGCAGATGTGCACCACCCATAGAAACACATGCTGCCAACTGCTGCCCTGCCAGCTGTGGGTGCTCTGCTAATCCACTGGGCAGCATGTGAATCTCTCCTGAGTGACCACCCAAGCACTCAGCTTGCAGGGAACAGTAGTTGGAAGTGAAGCCACTGGGCTTTTTTTCATTGCATGCAGAATAAGAGAAAGTCACTGGCCCCCTGAGGACTTCTAGCAAGCCGTTATCTGGGCATTCTTATCATGGGATCATGGCTACCATCTGCCTAACAGTTGGGCTTTGGTACTGGGATCACAGGAGTCAGAGGTAGATAAATGGAATGTACCTATTGGGCCATCAAGACAAAACCTCCCATCCCAGCTTGTTCCTGACAGGGTCTCCTCCAGAGCTGCATGCAGGGCTCCCACCACTTCCCTTTGGAAAGTATCTAATAGACCTGGCTGTTGCCTGAGGCGATACTTAAGAGGACCTTGCCAAACACCCAGGTGCCAAACACCCAGGAATCCAATGACCAATGCCAGTATTCAAGTCCTCTGAAAATCAGGCCTTTGCTTGTTTACACTTTGGCCCATGGCTAGCAGGGTTTGCGGAGGTGGATTCCCAGCAGATGACTTATCACCAGCATGTGCTTATCTTTTTACACTGAGCATCATCTTGCCACTTAAAAAACAATACTCTCCCTCGCAGATCACGACACTCTTTTTGCCTCACTCCTATTTATGAACCCTTGTATTGCTATATTAATCTAGCCGGCATTTGACTCCAACACAGAGCAATCTGAACTGCAATGAGTGTTTTACAGGGTATTTCATTAGCAGGGTGCCCCATTTATTAATAGTGCTCAGGACAAAGAGTCATTATGCTTGATAGTTTTTAAATACCTAAAAGGAAAACTTACATGTTATTCACATCTGTCCCGGCAGCCTTTTCTAGCACCTCATCCGTCACTTCTAGGCCTGGGGGAAACTCAGGATGCTTCAAAAAGAAAACCCTTCATAAATTCAGTAGCATTTTTTATGGCTGGTCCCATACCTCCAGGGGCTAAGATCCCAGTGGAATCATGACATCTAGTATTCACCCAGGCTCTCAGAACAGTGTCAATTCAACAAATAAGAGAAACAGAATAGCAGCTTTGCAGCAAAGATCAGTAAAAATGGGGGAGGGGGGGAGGAATTACCTTTAGGTGAAAGGATATCTTGGTGAGTAGAAGTTTGGTATAAATATTCACAAGCTGCCCATATCTGTCGTGCAAGTGCCCCTGCCAAGGAATATCGGGAAAACATTACAAAACTTGTGGGCGACACTACATGTTCCTCTTCCCACCAACCTGGACAGAATTCAGTGGACAAAGACGAATGACTCCAAACTTTGGCCCAGATTTTTTACTGGTGTATATAGGTGTAGCTCGGCTCAAAGGAGCCCCTACTGATGCTATGTCTACACTAGGGGCCTTTATTGGAAAAGGGTATGCAAATTGCACTCCGCAGTTTGTGTATCTTTTTCTGATGGTTTTTTTCCCAAAAGTTGGCCCAGAGTAAATGGGCCAAATTTCAGAAAAGCCTCTTCCAAAAAACCTCTCTTTTGGAAGAGCTCTTCTTCCTCGTGGGAGGAGGAAGATGGGACTTCCAAAAGAGCGTGTCTGCTCTTCCGCAAAAAAAAAGTGGAAGAGCAGACATGTTCTCGTGATGTGGCGGAGTTTTTCTGGGATACCTCTGGTATCCCAGAAAAACCCTGTAGTCTAGACATAGCCTGAGTTATACCACCTGAAGATCTGGCCTTTAAAGGATCAGGAAGAAAAATGTAATTGCAAGGAGAGCAGGGTGGGACGTCACATGCTTTTAAATATAGCTCTCATTAACAAACACAAAACCACATTTCTAGTCCAATCAGGAAGAAGAACTTGTTGGCTCAGTTCCAAAAGGTAAATCACTTCCAATCCCCTGTTGAGGGTGGAAGAGACTTCCATTGTATTCATGAATCATGATTCAAACATGAGAATAGTATGGACAAATTTCAGTTTAGGCAACCATATTTATAGCTTACCTCCCCTCCCCTGACACTGACTTCCCTAATTCTCTCCTACCATCTTTTGCAGTGTCAGGTAAATGCAATAGTCTCTCCCACCTCCTGTCTTGAACTCCCAGAAAGCTCCTGTGTAACAGAAACCTCACCACCATCCCACTCTGAACGGCATTCACTCCTCAAGTCAGCCACACTTCATCTGTAGGTGAAGCAATCCACGCTACTTCAGAATTACAGCTGGGCAGTAAAGTGAGGGTTAAATATTTCTGTGGGACCCGACTACCCGCCCTACCCTTTGTATCACAACACAGAAGCTCAGAAATAAAACATTCATGGTCAGACCTGACCAGTCCTCCCCCCATATACTTCCCCAGATACCTAGAGAGAAAGAGCGCTTTACCCCCTTTTTAATGGAAGGCTTTCAGCGGCCAACATGGTTGTGTTTCAACTCACCCACAGGTCTCCTGTCTCACGAATATTACTCCGATATCTTTGACAGTCTTGAAGAACCTGGAGGGAAAGTCAGAGAGATCAGACATGCAGCTGTGGTGCTCAAAAGTATAGGGGTGGGCGGGGGGGTGAGGAGGAAGGCAAGAAGAGGATCAAGACAAGCTTGACCTGAGCTGCCGCACTCAAGCTTAAGTCTACAACCCCCTCCCACCTCCAGCTGCTGTACTGTACACATCTGGATTTTTTTTATTGACTCTTGTGCTGGCCTATTGCGAGAAAGCAACCCGGATGGAAATTCCAGGGGAAATTTTTAACTTGTTTCAAGTGGCAACAAGAGTTTTTAAAAGGAGGAATGGCTCTAATGGCTTCCAGTCCTCTAGCAGAAACCAGGAACGGATCCCAGGTGCCCACAGAAAATGGAGACCAAGCTGACTGTTGGTTCTAAAAACAATGGGATAGTTCAAGAAAGAGCTGTGTACATTCCCAAAGGATCTGTTACAACAGAGCACTTTAAACACAATGGCACATTTTTGGAAGAAGATCTAGTGGTTAGAGTAGGGAACTAGGAGTAAGGAAACCCAAGTGCCAGTGCCTCTTCCTTGGGCCAGTCACAGACTTGCTTGACTTGGTTTCCCCAACTATGAGACAGGAATGATGACACCCACTTTCATCAAGTGCTTTAAGACCTACTAGTTAAAAGCCCTGCAAATGCCTAAGTGGAATTATTATCATGGGTGGTTGCTTTGCTCAGTATGTATTAAATAGAATATAGTGAAGATTAACAATGATTTTGGAAGATTGATTGAATCAATCTAGCTAAGGTTGTTCCTAGGTGCCTTTCACCTTGGTATCCAACTACTAAGCTAGTGATCTATGTATTTAAAACCCAAAGCGGTATTATCTCTCAGCACATTCAGCCTAACAATATCTCCTGTATCAACCTGCAATCTGTAGGAAGAGGCCACCTGAGCTCACTGCTGCATTCCAAACCCTGTTAAAACCAGCAAAGGGGAGGGGGTGTTACTGGAACAGGAGACCCTTTGGCATTCACAGACAACACAGCTGATCACAACCAGGCCTCATCAGTGAATTGTGGCCTTGTAGTCGCTGGAGGGCCTGGCACCACTCTCCAGGAAGCTGTGCATGGAGCAACGAGGGAGGAGAGCTCTGGAATCGATGTGATGTGAACATTAATGATCCTCCCTGGAGGAATGTGTCAAACACACAGCAGAGGGAATTCTGCAGCTGAAACACATCAGGAAAGGCTGCAGCCCACGAAGGCTTCCTTAGTCACAGAAAAGCTTACCTCAGCTGCCCAGACTGTAAAATGTTGCTGGGCCAGCCAAATATGCTTACTCCTATTTCTGACACCTCTCTTCCCTCTGCCTCTCCAAAATGTTTCTGCCAGTTGGGTGCATGATCAGCTATGATGGCAGAAAGTACTGCCTTTCCATCAGCCAGCTAGAGGCAACAGATTACAGCCTGTTCTCTCTCATCTGCCAGCCTCTTCTTTGCACTCAGTGTGGCCTGTTCAGCCTCAATATTTATTTCACTCAAAATATTAATGGGAGGAGGTGTAAAAATACCTAGTATACTTTCCTAGCTTGGGTCCCAACATATTATAGCTGTTACTTACACAGATAACATGCTGAGGTAGATTTTTCCCATGCGCAATTACTTAGTGGAGAATGTACAGGACTGGGAGCCAAAAGCCCTACATTCTACTATTGGGTCCGCCACTGACTTGCCACCTGCCCTTGGGCAAGTCACTTTACCTTTCAGTGACTCAGTTTCCCTCTCTGTGAAATGGGGAGTAAGAAAGGGCTCCTCCTGTGTGACAGACTTTGAAAGACATGCTCTCGCTGTGAACGCAGAGCATGTGATTAGTAAGTGGAAGGAAAGGAGACACTTACATTGCGGTGGCCATCTCTCAGGACTTTGTGCAGAACATGGCAGAACTTCCAGCTGAGGATGGAGCTGCTGGGCAGGGGGAGGCCGATAGCGTAGGACCAGAAAGTAAATGCTCCTTTCTCATGATGAGTTCCTAGGATAATTCCTTTGCAAATGTCAAGGCTAATCAAGCACGTACAAACTCAGGCCAGCCATTTCAATCAAAGTACTCATTATCTAGGTTTTCTTTGTCTCAATCAGCTTCTCATTACAACACTCATCAGAAGAGCCAGGGTTCGGATGACTAATCACCAATTTATGTTACATTTTCTTTTTACAAAGGGGTTCCAACTGACAGCACACCCAAATGCCAAGTTACAAGTAGTGGGACATCCAACCACAGCCCCATGTCCTTGCAAGCAGCCGAAAGAGCAGTCATTGCCATTTTATTTTCCCTTTGCCTCACCCTCCTTTTTGCTTCGATGTACCCAGCTCTGATGTTCCCTCTAATTTTTTTCATCCACTTATGGAATAAGTTTGTTCTGAGCACCAAGGCATATGCAGGAGTGCACCTCTAATAGAAACGTAGCCTGCCAGCTGCAGCCAGCTGTGGGTGCTTGGCTAATCAGCAGGGCAGCATTTGACTCCTGCATGGCCTCCAAACCACTCAGCTTACAGAGAACACTGCGGCAGCACCTTCTCTGTCAGAGAATGTTTGAAAATTATTTTATGTTCTCTTGCTTCTAAAAGTGCTACACTGTAACAGACTGCAGCAGAGACTGAGCATGAAGTGTGCCAGCCCACATTACACCAATGGTCTGTCAAGGCCAGTCCTATTCCCAGCTGTGGCCGATACCTCAAAGGAAGACATACCTCCACTTCACCTGTCTCAATCCCCGAAAACACCCTCTTCTATTGGCAAATTCCTTTCTGATCCCTAGGATAATTAAAAGACGCCCCAAAATTGGGAATTGTATGCTGATGTGCAGGACAATCTGGCCATGAGATTTCAATGCTCCAAATCTGGTCACGGTGCTGGGCTCTGAGAAGCATGGGGCTCCAGGATAGCTGAGGAAAAGGATACTGCGGGCGTGTTTCTCTTTCACTGGCGCTTCTTGTGTATTGATAGCTTTGCTGATGCTAATAGCCTGTGCGGGGAGAAGAGAGGAGATATCAGAGGCAGAATCAGCAAAATCCCTCACTGCTTAAAGCATTACAAAGGCAATTTCTCATCTGGATATTTACATCTCAACTCAAATACAACGAAACAAGCAATTTCTTCCTTTTATATACCCCTGCTTCTGTAATTTCCACTCCAGTTTCTCTGATGAAGTAGATTTTACCCTCAACAGCATATGCCCAAATAAATCTGTTAGTCTAAGGCTGAATGGTTGGAATTAATGTTGCAAACAAAAGGTGCTGTATACACTGGGAGCATTATCAAATGCTCCGTAAGGCCAGGTAATGCTCAGTGAATGGCAAGAAGGATCCAGAAATAGACCAGGTGCCTGAGAATTTTTTTTCTGGACTAGCAATGTTGACAGAAACATCGAGGCTGTGTCTAGACTGGCTAGTTTTTCCGGAAAATCAGCCATTTTTCCGGAAAAACTTGCCAGCTGTCTACCCTGGCCACTTGAATTTCTGCAAAAGCACTGACGATCTCATGTAAGATTGTCAGTGTTCTTGTGGAAATACTATGCTGCTCCCATTCGGGCAAAAGTCCTTTTGCGCAAAACTTTTGCACAAAAGGGCCAGTGTAGACAGCTCAGATTTGTTTTCCGCAAAAAAGTCCCAATCACGAAAATGGCGATCGGGGCTTTTTTGCGGAAAAGCGCGTCTAGATTGGCACAGGCGCTTTTCTGCAAAAAGTGCTTTTGCGGAAAAGCGTCCGTGCCAATCTAGACGCTCTGTTCCGAAAATGCTTTTAACGGAAAACTTTTCCATTAAAAGCATTTCCGGAAAATCATGCCAGTCTAGACGTAGCCCGAGAGTCTCTACGGTGTAGCAGGACTCATCTCCTCATCCCCACTGTACAGACGGGGAGGGAGGGCACAGATCAGTTTTGGTCTCACATTTAATGAGTTCTGCCTTTGACAGATGATCCTGACAGGTTTAGCTGGGAGGCTGTCAAGGGCTGGTACTTCATCTGCCCCACTCAGCACTGTCGTGCTGCTCCTGCCCTCTGCCTTGGAGCTGTCCCCTCCACTCCCAGGAGCCTCTTGCTTGCTGTGCAAAGCTTAGGAAGAAGAGGAAGGGGGTGCTGATATCAGGATGCCCCTCCCTCCACTCTGTATCCCAGCTCCACAGAGCAGAGTGGGGGACAGGGAAGGAAAGAGTTTACTGGCTGCCAGGGAAGGGGTGAGCCTGCCTTAGCCCCCTACACCATCACCCGGAAACCACCTGTGGTAAATGGTGCTCAGCTGTAGCCCGCATTCCAAACTCAGCCCCAGTCCTGAACCCTTCCTGTACCCCAAACTCTTGCCCTAGCCCTGAGACCCCCTGCACCCAAACTTTCTCCCAGAGCCAGCACCCTGCACCACTCCTGCACCTCCTAACCCAACCCTGCCCCAGGCTCAGCTCAGAACCCCTCCCACACTCCAAATCCTTAGCCCAAGACCAGAGTCCGCAGCACCCTTCCCCGCATCACAACCCTCTGCCCCCAGTCTGATAAAAGTGAGTGAGGGTGCAGGAGGGAGGGAGGATGGAGTGACCATGGGTGGGGCCTTGGAGAAGGGGCAGGAAGGAGGCAGGGCAAGAGTGTTTGGGTTTATGGTGGATCCTAGATATGCTTATAAAGGTTGGAGACCATTGCTCTAACCTGAGACCCAAGATGCCTCATGCCTTGACATCCAAGCATTAAATTCTCAGTGCTTCCTTTATCACTTATTGATGTGTTGCTCAGGACATCTCAAACTAATTGTTTTCTACCTGCAGCCTCATCTTTGCAGCTGAAAACCATCTATAATCCTGCCTTGTACATCACTCACCCAAGGGATTCTAGCATGTGAATTTGGGTGGCAAGTTGAGGAGAGCAACAGACATTCACCATGGCTGCTATGAGCCTTGTAAATATACCAGACTGTATTTTCTCAGCAATAACTCAGAGAGGTTTCTACAGAACAAACACGCTTACACAGCAAGATGCCAATTTCAGAGTTGTTTGTCTAACCATAACAAGCCTTTGAATGTTTATTTCTTTTCACATGGGAGGTGAGGTAATATCTTGCATTGGACCAACTTCTGTTGGTGAAAGAAACAAGCTTTGGAGCTACACAAAGCTCTTCTTTTCACAGCTGTGACGTCATTTACCATATTTACATCAATCTCTTTTGTAGTTTGCACTCCTCTAACATTTGGAAAACAGGCTGCAAATAAGTATGGGAGTAGCCTCTGCCACACCCATTCCAAAGAACACAAAGTGTGTAGAACAATGTGATTGAAGTAGCAGCAGAAGTAATGAAAGTAATGCTGATTGCAATCTTTATTAGGTGGATGAACTATGTCTTAAAGAATCTAAACATTTTATCTGCATCTTGGGGTTTTCAAAGTATGTGAAGGCTTCAATATCTGAGATATAGGTGAGAGGATTTTTCTAGGAGGGGTGGGTGAGATTCTGTGGCCTGCACTGTGCAGGGGGTCAGACTAGATGATCATAATGGTCCCTTCTGACCTTAAAGTCTATAAGTCTATGAACATGCCCCCATCTAAGTCACACAGTTCTGCTCTGAAGACTGACCCTATAAATAATGCCATCCATTTATATTGGCTCTCAGTGATTCCAAATTAAGATATACTCCACCTACAAGTAAAGAATGTTGTTTTTGTTTTTTATTTTTAATTCCCTCTCCTGCAAACATCCAGAGCTTTCTTCCTTTTGGCATGACCAATAGAAGTCAGACTCAATTCTAGCCTCAGCCACTTCTATGCACTCTCATTGTCTTCAGTGAATTTCCATAGGTGTAAGGGCTCAACTCTGTAATTAGATCTTGGTGAATAATCCTCCCAGTGGTGCCAGAATAGACTCTTGCTCTCTCGATGCTACATTGACTTCACAGGGCTAATAGAGGGTAAAGCTTTATTATATCAGACACAGCCCACAGATGGGATACCCACCTGGTGATATATTAAGATGCCACTTTTACATTGTCACTTTTCAGGGGAGAGTTGCACTTTAAATGAACTATGACCCTAAGGGGATGCTGATCTTATAAAGAGCAAGCTTTCTAATCATGGTAGAGCAGCCATAAATCAAAGGCCATATTGAACACATTCCTGTAAATTTCAGTCCTTATCAGTGTTTCCTCTGGCTTCCTCTTGGAGTTTCCGCTTGTTGTCTCAGACATTTAATGCTGCTGCAAAGGCAAGGCTGTGGTTTTACAGTGTGGATGGATTTTCAGGAATGGAGATGCATTGATTTAGCATGAAGGCACCCAGGACTTGAGCTGAGCTCCCAAAATGAGAGAGAAGCATCTCAATAGGCACCATTCTCCACCTCCTACAAAGAAAAAAGGTTATTTTGTATCTGGGGTAGAAGGAATGGGAATGGGGAATCTGGCTAACAAGATGAAGAGGTGAAATACTTGTCATGAGAAGTACTAGGATGCACCATTCATTGCAAAGGTTGTCTCTCTCAGCATAGCTTTGAGATCTCATCATAGCCAAGGCTCAGTGCAGTGTATCACTCCTCTTGTGGGGCCCACTCTAGGTTCTGCTGAAATTGTCAACAAGAACTTTGTGTGACTTCTAGCATGTGGCGAGACCTGTCCTCATTTTACTGGCTACAGCTTTAGGCAAGATCTTCATCCAGAGTTCATTCAGGTGATCAGCACCCAAGTCTAGCCTGGATATAAGTGAACATGCTGCCAATTAGACTCAAATTACTGGATCCATGCTGGCACTGCCTTCACTGTGAAAATGTAACCCACACACCTACTGGGTGCGATGCACTGTCCCAGGGAGTTGCACTTAGTTATAGACTAACATGGCTCTGCCTCTGAGATACTTACAGAAAGAATGAATGTGCTCTACAGCTTTAATTGAGTGGTAGCTAGTTTTTAAAGCACTAGAGGCTCATGTACTAAGCTCCAGGGTCACAGGTTTGCATGGTCCTTAGCACTGCAGTAAGCCAAGTAGCTCTGTTCTTTCCCAGTGACTTGTGAGAGAATGTGAATCTTTCTGGGCACGTGGGATGGAGAGGTGAACAGCAGAAAGTCACTGGAGAACTATCAGCTGATTTATCCTGTGTCCTCATCCATCCAGTGCCAGATTTATGCACAAGCTAAGTAAGCTACAGTTTGGGGCCTCTAAATACAAAAATATTACTACTTTTTAGTTGTAGCCTCACCTATGTGCTGGTATATATGCAAATATAAAACTTTAGTATTTCTATTTTCATTGACCTTTCTGTTAATACAATACCAAAAAAAAGTGTAATGCTATAGGCCTTTGAAATTTGACACAGTTTAAGAGCCTCAGCATGTCTTAATCTGGCCCTGGTGCTCACCACAAAGTAGTCAGGTTACCAGCCCAAGTGTAAACAGTATTAGAAACTTAGCCTATGAGCACGGGCAGGCCAGCTAGCTTGTTTGAAAGCACCCCCACATTCAGGAAAGCATGAGATTATGTGAATGGGTGCCAGATCTGGGGGTAATGCCCAAGGAAGAGGCCACATTAACTCTGCAGTGAAGACCAGCCCTTAGTTTCTCACACTGCTGTTGAAAGAGAAAGGCTGCTCCAGGAGTCCTAAAATGACCATGAGTTAACAGTCTGGGAACATGGCAGAATTACATTCTCTTCAGCAGCACCACAAACCTTAACAACCACACTCCAAACCTCCTTCCAAAGCTAAGGCAGGAACATCCCCTCCCCTCCTCCTCCCATTTCCCTAAACCTCTGACTGACACATACACCTCTTTCTACTTGTAACGACAGCTGGGAGAACGCACCACGAGGGGAGCAGCCATGCTACACCATTCAGAAATAGCCTGATCTCTAATGCGGCTATTACTTGCTGCAGAGAAAAAACAAAGAGCCACAAAGTGATCCATGGAGAGGCAGCACATGTGGCATCCCTGCTCAGCTGGGAAGATGAGACCCTTTGCTTCTCTACAGAAGAAGGAAACTCACCAAAGGCGGCCTCAGAGCAGTTCAAATCCCAGAAGAGGCCCACGCCTGTGATGGGAGCCTTTTTGGCCAATAATGGGAACTGAAGCAGGGAACATCTGGGCTAAAAGCACGAGTCTAAGCAGGGAAGGGCAAAAGGCCCTTTCCAGGCTGGATCTGGCCCACCAAGCTGGTTGATTCAGCTCATGGCCACCTTGTCACTCCCTTGCCCCCAGGACGGGAGCACATGAAGTCTCTCGTGTCCTTTCCCTGCCCTGCTGGAGGTGTGCAGTGGCTAGAGACTGCCAATGTGTCTCTCTAGCTGGCGCAAAGGCGAGGAGACTTCGCATCTCCCCCCCACCCGCCTCAAACCCTGATTGGCCTGGGGGTAGGAGGAGTGCACAAGGTCTCCTTCCAGTAGGCGCCTAGAGGGAATGGCCAGCTGTTTCAAAACAGCTGGCATTTCTTTCTAGGGGCTAGGGCAGGGGAGGGGGAAGACTTTCCCAGGCAAATTGGGAGGGGGTGGGGAGCACAAGAAGTCTCCTAGCCCTGCACCATCCTTCCGAGGCCCCACCCTTTCCGGGGTGGCCCAAGTCCACTTCAGAAGTTTCTGAAGTGGCCCCTTTTAATATTTATTGCCCACCCCTGGTCTACAGCTTACAAACCTGCAGGCAGAGTATTGTAACAGACTTACCCCCTGGGGCTCAGGGCCAGAAGGCAGACAATCTAACGCACACAAAGCCCCTTCATTCAAAACCCCAAATATGGGCCAGCTTCCCCAAAAGTCTGTAGAATCCAAGACAAGATTCAAGCTGATCAGATGCATTTACAGACTAGCAAATACTGATTTCCTCAGAGGCACACAATTTCCTCCCAGTGGGAACAGAGAATTCATCTCCAAAGCTTGCACTACCCTTTAAGTCTATGATGTTATACTGCACACCCCCTAAGGCTGGGTCTGCATGTTTGAGGGTCTCTAGGAAACATACAGAGTCTGAAGTTATGACTGTCCATAGCCCCCTCCCATGTAGAGGCCTCTTTCAATTTCTACAAGCCTGACCTCATTTCATACAGAAGTCTAATGTGCCATTTAGATTCTAGGAACCAATGCTGCAGCCAAACTGTATAAATTAATGAAGCTATATCGACTTGGAATGATGTACCATTAAACGTGAGGATCAATTAACCAAAAGTACAACCACCTGTAAGGCTTCCAAGCACAATCTTTAAAAAGTCCCTGGATTTTATGGTCCTCCTCAACTTCTTCTTTTTACAGATCCCAGTGAGTGAAAACAGTTGTGCTTTCCTTTGTCTGGACTCAGGAGCAGCACAGCTCAACCTGAAGTTCTTGGTTAACTCTGACTGACAGGCCCGAGTGGAGTGAAGTACGACTGGTGTGTCCTGAGGCAGGAAAGGAACAGCTGCTAGCCCATGACGATTGGCTGTATCTTCTGGCCGTCTGAAGGTGGTAGAAACCATTTAACAGGCCGTCTGAAGGTGGTAGAAACCACGTAATAACATGAGGGGGCTACACAGCTATTCATCTCTGGTTATTGAGGGGCCAAGAGGCATTTTCCGCTGCCTCAAGGCAGCAGATGCTACTTCAACAAGGCAGCAGCAGATGCCTTAGCCAGCTCTCTGGCATTTTCCATCTTCCTACCAGCATCGCCTTCTGCATGCCCTGGGTTACATGCCAGCCAGCCACTTGTTTCCCCCTTCCTCTCTCTTGCAGAACATCGTGTGGTGGGTGTACCCCACACCGGAGCAGACAGTCCATTTCCAGGAGTCAAGGCCAGGCTCCAGAGCCTGCTCACCCTGCAGGACCAAATGGCAGGGACGGAGCCCAGAAGACCCTTT